TAAAATGTAATGATCATAAAAATTGAACCTCCGAAGTATCAAGCCACCATGGCGCACCAACCTGGTACACATTTTCCGTTTGCCTTTAAAAAGTCTCTATTATGCTGACTTCTCTAAAACCAGAATTGATTTAGATTATTTTTAATGGTGGAGTCCTACGACCCTAATAAAACTTTTTATATGTTTCTTTTTTGTTTATTCGTCGTAGTTTTATTTTTTCTAAAAAGTACTTTAAACTGTATAAATAATGTAAAATTAATTTTAATTTATTAGCCAATCAGATGAACTTCTGTCTATGACAGTAGCATAGGGTTTTTCAAAAATTAACGATTCGGCATCTGAATTCGAATAAAATAAACGCCTATTTTTTTTTTTTTTTAGAGTTGCTTTTTTATTTGATGTCAGGCATGTGATCCTCAGAAAGCAATTCAAGGATGGATAAGTGGAAATATAGATGATTTCATTAAAGAATTTCAGCTTAAGACAATCTCATCCATTTCATGTACTGTACGTATAGTGAAAGAAATCTAAAAACCACAATTAAACCTTATAAAGATAAATTACAAGCATAAATCATTAACATAATAATGAGTGTTAAGGTGCTACTTTGAAAATCATTAGTATATATATGTGTAAATGAGTCTCGTCGGAGTTTTAATGTGTTACTTGATTAAACAGGAGGAAATGTCGTGTAACATTGACGTTTCCTCTTGTTACTTTATTATTATTATTATCTGCTTGTAATCTGCACATTATTGAATTTGCAATTAAGAATCACTTATTTTAACACCACTCCCATCACAATAATATATACAAAGCTCATTTCATTTTTGAAATCAAAAATTTCTTTTTTTCGTTTTTTTCTATTCTTTCAAATATACTTATTTGGGAATTTAAACATTTAAAAATGAAAATTAGTCAAAATAAAAATAATATCAAACATAATCCTGGTACTATAGATCAAATATTTTCATCCGAATATTTTTATATTATTTTTAGGTACCTCCTAAACAACAAAGATTTACATTCTTGCCTTTTGGTCAATAAATATTGGGCTTCTTGTGCCGTACCAATTTTATGGGAATCTCCTTTCAATATAAATGATAAATTTATTCCGTCACCCAAATTAATTCGGACCTATCTCACATTTATAACGGTTGAGAATTTTCACAATAGTTCAACGGTTAAAAGGCCGCTTTACGATTATCCATCGTTTCTCAAAGAACTTCCATTTGATCGATTTATTAATGCTGCCATTGCGAGCGAATGCTCTGAGGCAAAAATAATCGAATTAATTATAATGTTTTCAAATTATGCAGTAAAGTTTCGTCGATTTGATCTTTATAACCACCTATCTTCAAATTTTCATGATCATATGGCTTCTACGATTCTTCTTCAGCTTTTTGAATACTCTCTAATGTTTAGGAACTTGTCACGCCTAAATTGCACATATCATTGGCCTGCTAAAAAAGATCAAATCTTTAATGTAATAGCAGATATCTGTCATAATATTGAAAATCTTAAAGCTACTGTTTGGAATGAGGATGAAGGAATTGCATTAACAAAACTTGTGTGGGCTCAAAAACGGTTAAAAAAATTCTCACTATTAAATAGCAATAGCTTCGCATCATTTCCTGTTCAATCTCTCGAATGTCAAATACAATCACTTAATAGTTTAACGTTCAAAGACATGCATTCCAACAGCAGATTGGCTAAAGTATCAAATTTTAATTATACTACGTTTCAATTAAATGATAAAGCCATCTTTTCACTTACTCAACGTATCAAGATTACTAAGTTAAAGTTTAAACACTGTGAAGGACTTAGCTCCTCAATATCCCTTCCCATTACTTCTATGTATTCAAACTTAACGTCTCTGGAATACTCTTATGGAGGTTATAACATTTATGATAATGCGACTCCTATTAATCTATTATCTGATCTTGTCAAAACGAATAGTAAAACTCTTGAAAGAATTATCTTTGATTGGCATTCCAATAATTTTCTTGAATGTACTCAACTGATCAGAAATATTGCGGAATGTACAGTTAACCTTAAACATTTAAAAATCCCACTTTACACATTAGAACAACTTGCTTTAATTCTTCAAACTACAAACCAGTTAAAAAAACTTGAAATATATATGGGGAAAAAAATTAATCCACACTATGCTCTTTTTCTTTTTATTAATATACCATTTAATAACCTTAAAAATTCTATAATCCAATTATCTTTTGATGGTTATGGGAGAATTCGGCCAAAGGTGAATCAATTAAAACAAATCTTTGAAGAAATTTTTTATAAAAATCAAATTACCAATTTTGTTTTAAATCAACACAATTGGCCAAATCTTTCAAAAGATAAGAAAGAGGAATTATCAAAAATTTTTCCAATGCTTAAAGTCAATATATCAAAAAGACAAACTTGTTATTATCAAGAATCGGATATTTGGTTAAATGGATATGATGAATTACTTGTATTTTTTGATAATATATTAGAAAATAATCCAAATAATAAATGGGCTTTAATACAACGTGGAGCAATTTATTTTAATATGAAAAATTATCTAAAATCACTTGAAGATTTAAATAAATTTTTAAATATTGATCCAAATAACTCTAACGCATTAAGGCTACGTGGAGAAATTTTTTATAGAATGAAAAGATATGAACATACGTTACCAGATTTAAATAAATCATTAGAAATTGAACCAAATAATATATGGACATTAAGGCTTCGTGGAATTACTTATCATAGTATGAAAATGTATAAATGCTCACTTGAAGATTTAAGCAGGACATTAGAAATTAAGCCGACCGACGTGTGTGCATTAAATCAACGTGGAGAAATATATTATATTATGGAGAGATATGAAGAATCATTAAAAGATTTAAATGAATCACTAAAAATTGAATCAAATAATGCATATGCTTTGAAACAACGTGGAATGGTGTATTATAATCTAAAAGAATATAATAAATCAATTGCAGATTTAAGTGAATCACTAAATATTGAACCGAATAATATAATTGCATTGGGACAACGTGGAGAAATCTACTATATATTGGAAAAATATAATGAATCACTTATAGATTTAAATAAATCTATAGAAATAGAACCAAACGATGCATTTGCTTTAATGTACCGCGGTATGGTATACCGCATGACGAACGAATATGAGAAAGCAATTGAGGACTTGAATGGATCACTAAAAATCGTGCCAGATAGTTTACTCGCGCTACAACAACGTGGAATGACTTATTACACCATCGGAAAATATAGAGAATCATTAGCGGATTTAAATAAGTATTTAGAACTTGAAACAAATAATACAATGGTATTAACAATTCGTGGAGTAATTTACTTCAGGGTAAAAGAATATAAAAACGCACTTCGAGATTTTAATAAATCTTTAGAACTTGAGCCAAATGATGCAACAGCACTAAAAAATCGTGGAGCAACATATATTAAGATGAAAAAATATAAACAATCATTTGTAGATTTAAATAAATCTCTGGAACTTGCACCAGATGATGTAATCGCACTAAATAATCGTGGGATACATTACCTCTCAAAAAATAAATATGAAAAGTCACTTAAAGATTTCTGCAAATCATTAGAAATTGAACCAAATAATGTACAAACGTTAAGATTTCGCGGGATAGTTTATTATAATATGAAGGAATATAATAAATCACTTGAAGATTTAGATAATGCATTAAAAATCGAACCAAACAATCCAGATATATTAAACCTACGAAAAGAAACCTGTCACAAGATGAGAAAAAAACATCTTTTTTTATAACAATTTTTTTTTTAAAAAATGGTAACTCTTTAAAATGGGCAACTATAAAAAATTTATCGTACATGCAACCTTTGAAATAACTTTAACTCCTCATTATACACTCTTGTTCCATGAAAATACGATATGTTTAATTTTTTAAATACTCCTTTGTACTCATGAAATTAGAAGTACTGTGTAGTTGCTAATATTTACGAGCTTTGACCATATATTGATAAAGCTGATTTAATCCGCAGAGAATGGCTGTCAGCAATTACCAGACACCATCACTACGTTCAGCAAGTTCAGCACCTTCAGAGATGGAAAAATTATTGCATATTCTTACTAGATATTAGGATTTTTGTAATAAGTAATTCCTTACGATAATTCTATTTTTCAGCAACAAAATTTACCTTTTTATTCAATCAGCGCAACTTTAGGTGCATGGAGTAGCAATTTAAAGATATATAACATATCGATGTATTTAAAAGACTAACTAGTTCGAATGAATGAAAAAAAACTGAAGTTATCTTAAATTTATATTTCGCAAAATGAATTTCATTATTTAATGCTTTACAATTGAAAATAAATCAATTATTTTATGGTATATTTAAATGATAAAATAATTGAATTATTTCATAAATCTGAGATAGTTAATCATAAAATAACTATATATTATTTTGAACGTAATAGTTTCGTAAATAAAAGTTCTTAACTTGATTGAAGTTTTAACCAAAACCAGAAACCAAATTATTTTATTATTTCCAATATCTAAGTATATCAATATCTAAGTATATTACGATGCTCTAAATGGTTTTTCGACATGCCTAAAATATTTTCGACAATTTTTATCGAATTATTGTTCTTTATGCCATTGGTTAGAAATAACCACCCTATTAAAATTTAGGCTTAGGGTGCAACTTTAAGATAAATAAAGGTTTTATATAAAATAGTCTTTTTTTTATATAACATAATATATATTGGGTATAAGGTCCTAATCTCAGTTCTCGTAGGTTTTCAGGGTTTTTACTTAGAACCTCGACCATATTTACTTAGTACTTTTCGAGATATAGCATACTGGCTATCTTTAACCACTGGCACAAGTTAAAAATGTTATTTTTATTTACAACACAAAATAATTGAATTATTAGTTATGTATACTTCTGACTTTAAAAATTTCCATTAATCTAGTATTATTATAATAAAGTTAAAGCGTCTATAACTAACTAGCGCATATAGTTTGGCTTTGCAAGATAAATTCCATTGAATTTCATCGAGATATAAAAAAAAATATTTGTTTTACTGAAACTTATTATCACGGAGTTTACCAGACTACCGTGTATTCGTTGACCTTTATTAGTCTTTACACGCTTGGCTAACTTATACGATGACTTGAGTATCGTACCAGATACTACCACCGATAATAATATGCTCACACAGATACAGTTTATTCACTAAGAATAATTCAAAGAAATAGCGGGAACAAAAGGTAGACACTTCCCCTATTTGGATTAATAATAAATGCATTTGCGTACTAATAATTACAGACTTTCTTATCACTCATGCATCAATATTTTAGACTTTTAATTAAATTGTGATCCCCCGATATCAATTAGATCAATTAGATCACGACATTTGATCAACACGTACCCGATCAATAGTCACATGGATGTTTCCCAGCACAACTAGAGAAGAATCTAAATAATACTGTTTATCATAACGTTTAGCCTTTAATAAATGAAAAAAAATTAATTTTCAAATGAATTCCTTTATTTGCATTGACACTTTCTATGTGTTAATAAATTTGCTAATATAGAACCCGGATATTTCTGTGGGCAATCTATAATTTTTTAACTATTTTATTATCGTCTAAGAATTGCTTTTTAATCACATCGACTTGAATCCACCAATACATTTTTTTCATTCACTTCATGGTCAGAAGGTCGCTTTTGTAGACCTAAATTCATGCATTGTTTAGCAAATTCAATATAGCAATTTGAGATATCTTTGATCAAAATCTAGTGTTCATTAAGACAATATCAAGAACTTTGTTAAATTTGAAATTTTGCTATAGGGACAAATTGAAGGTTAAATAATTGATCAAATCAATTAATGCAAATATTTGAAATGAAATTCAAACTTTAACTTGATGTTGAGAAGCATTACTTATTTCATAATTATATAGTTACAATTAGAGATGTGCCTTATGCATTATACGGCTACATAATGTGATGCAAGTTGCCTAAAATTTAAAAATGCAATTTTGATTTATATAACTTCATCAACAATCACTTTAAAGACACATGTTCCTATCAAAATCAATAGACTAATATTTTAAAAAAATTTTAAGCGATAATTTGTAGTTCTTTATTAATTTATTACGATAGTTTCATATGATAACAATAAATCATCAAAAAAAAAGTTTACTCATTTTATCTCCGGATAACTCCTATTTATTTTTGACTTCAAAATTTCAAATCAGAAATAAGACATTTTGTACCCCCACTTATTTACGAAATATGTTAATTATGAATCACCCTATTGACTGTTTTTGACAAAAGAAAAATTTAATTATTAGAAAACCTTTTTTTTTTCTCAACGATTTGAATTCATTATTGCCTGTTTTTAGCATTTGTCAAAGCAATTTCTTTAATTGATGATCCTCCAGTCAACTGAAGCATGATCTTAGTAAAATGTGACTCAGATTACTATATAAATTTACTATGGTGTGAATGTAGTGTATACGCATCTAAAACTTTTTTTTATACTAAGTTAATCATCTTTCTTACTTAAGAAACTTTTGTAAAGCTTGTCAAGATGTATCTAATGGTGGTTAAAGCATCAAAATCGAACTAGTGAGTACTGAGATATCTTTAAAAAACCTCTCTTTTACTATGTAAAATTCTTTGCAAACAAAAGTTAAACAATAGTATTGTTTGCAAAGAAATTTACATAGTAAAAGAGATGTTTTTTAAAGATATCTCAGTACTCACCAGGCCGATTTTGATGCTCTAACCACCATTAGATGCGTCTTGACAAGCTTTACAAAAGTCTCTTAAATAAGAAAGATAATTAACTTAGTATAAAAAAAAGTTTTAGATACGTATATGCCACATTCGCACTATAATAAATTTATATAGTAATCTGAGTCATATTTTACTAAGATCATGCTTTAGTTAACTAGAGAATCATCAATTAAGTATAAATTATTTATTTAAATTATCAGGTTTTCTTTTAATAACACTTATATATACACCTGATAATACTAGCAATGATATATAATATACCAAGACATAATGTAAATATTCTTATTTAGACTTTTGATCAAAGTTTAAATAATTCAGATTTAGTTTTTTTATTATACAAATATTAAATTTGCAATAATGATATGTAATGATTATATAGATAATGTTTATATAATATATATGTAGTATAATATCTATATCTGTATATCTTTTGTATAATATATATCTGGCAAAACAATATAAATAAATAGTATCACATAATAGGGTATTATACAACACAGTGTTGTAAATATAATTTTCCATATATATAACTATATTATATAATTGTCTGGAATGAAGTGACAGACCTTTAATTTCTATGCATAGTGATACAAAAGTTACTTTCTTGATACATTCAGTCTTAAAATATCAAAAAAGTAACTTTGCATTTTCTGTCTGTCTGCTATTAGACAAAAGTTACTTTCTTGATGCATCAGATATTATTGCCTTTAGAATTAAGAGTTTTACAAATAAACCTCTTTTCAACGCTTAAGTAAAGTTGTAGAGGAATCTCCTGCGATCAGAATGGTGGTTAAACTATTAAAATCAGCCTAGTAGGTCATGAGATATAAGTATTTTTGTCTTCATGATTATATGTTTTCTTCTTTATATAAATAAAGAAGAAAGCATATAGCGTTAAGATTAAAATACTTATATTTCATGATCTACTAGGCCGATTTTAGCGTTTTAACCGCCATTATGATTGCAAGACTCTCCTCTATAACTTTACTTGGAAGTTAGAAAGCGATTAACTAATATAGTCAGGGAATATAGCAAATAGAGACAAATTAGAAAATTCGGTTCTAGAATGATCTGCACAGATTTGATTGGCTTTTGTACAACTTCTTGCTAGCAGTTTTAGGAAATTTTTTACATGTTTTATTTATTGCTTAAAACTTCTAAATAAAAGCATTAATAGATAGTAGAAAACATGTAGTTTAAATAATCTACAATAATTCACTCTAGTTAACTCTTGTTAAAAAAGTAAATAAACTATTAAAAAAGTAAATAAGATTTGGAATATTCTAGTTTGCATAATAATAAAATTTTTTTCTGTTCAGTTGATTTGATTGGTTAGTGACCATTCTTGGAGAAATTTCTGGAACCATTAGATCAGCATTCTATTATTATAAATGGTGTGATCAGCACTGTATATTTATGGTATTGTAATATAGTAGACTTTGGTAGCAGTAAACTATATTACTTGACTTAGTGTCAAGAGGGTAAAAAATGTAAATAACATAAAGTGAACACTAAAAGAAACTAACAAGATAATAAAAGGATAATAAAAAAACAATAAAAAGACAATAATTTCACTATAAAAGAAGATAACAGAATATCAAATATATATAAAGTGAGTATTTCCAAGATAATATCAGTTTATTAGATAAAAAGAAGAAATATATAAGACCAAGTCCAAGACAAAAATCTACCCAGGTCTTAGGTAAAAAGACCGGGTTTATATATCTTTTACAATCCTAATTAATTACTAATTATAGTTCATGTTATTGTACTATTGTGTTAAAGAGACTTGTCAAAGAGACTTGTCAAAGAGACTTGTCAAAGAGACTTGTTAAAGATACTAGTTAAAGATACTAACCAAAGAGACTAACCAACGAGACTAGTCAAAGAGACTAGCCAACGAGATCTAATTACTCATTAACTATTGGTTTAAATAAAAAACTATAAAAACTATACTAATAAAACTAATACTAAGGATTCTATTGGTTAAATAATATTTGTACTACACTTAGTAGTTACACATAAATAAATAATAGAAATTTTAAAATACTAATATATTACTAATATAACAGTATATTTCCTGACTGTAATAAATGTTTTAAAAAATCATAATATTTTTATAATTTTATTAATAAAATTATAGAAAATATTAAAATCCACAAATTTATACTAATTAAACATACCTTAATGTTCTAAGTAAACGTGTTATACATATAAAAATATACTATATTAGTATATGTTTACCTTATAGATTTAAATTTTAAGAAAGATATGCTTAATTTTGAATTTTTGATCAAAAATTGCAAAATTAAGCATTTTGCTTCTTAAAATTTAAAATTATAATATAAACATATACTAATATGATGTATTTCAATGCGTAGAACAAGTTTACTTAGAACATAAAGATACAATTAATTAGTAAAATATTGAGAATATTACTATTTTCTATACTTTTATTAATAAAATTATGGAAAATATTAAAATCTACAAAATTATACTAATTAAATCTACATTTATGCTCTAAATAAACTTGTTCTACGCATAAAAATACACCATATAAGTATACGTTTACCTTATAATTTTAAATTTTAAGAGAAAAGATGCTTAATTTTGAATTTTTGATCAAAATTTTAAAATTAGGCATCTTTTCTCTTAAAATTTAAAATTATAATATAAATATATACTAATATTATGTATTTTTATGTGTAGAACAAGTTTACTTATAGCATAAAGATATAATTAATTATTAAAATGTTGAATATAATACTATTTTCTATAATTTTATTAATAAAATTATGAAAAATATTAAAATCTTCAAAATTTTACTAATTAATTATATCTTTATGTTCTAAGTAAAATTCTTCTATATACAAAAATATATTATACTAGCATATGTTTACTTTATAATTTTAAATTTTAAGAAAAATATGTTTAATTTTGAATTTTTGATCAAAAATTGTAAAATTAGATATTTTTTTTAAAAAAATTTAAAATTATAAAGTAAACAATATTAATATAATATATTTTTACATATAGAACAAGTTTATTTAGAATCCACAAATATAATTAATTAGTAAAATTTTGAGAACTTTAATATTTTTCAAATTTTGTTAGTAAAATTATAAAAAAATAATATGATTTGCAAAAATTAAAATTGAGTTCCAGACAAACAATGCCATGCATTTACCTAGTATATATTATATATAGGACCTGATAATTTCTCTATTTCTCTAAAAAATCAGCTAATAAATGGTGCTCTCTTTATGATTAGCAAAGTAGAAAATGTCAAAGCCTTCTACAGCAGCAAATTTGATACTGAAACATCCAAAGATAGCAAATTTTAAAACCCTCTAGAATAAATATATAGAGCATTATATTATAGAATTGCTAGTAAGATTAAATACAAGTAGGTCTTTAAAGAAGTCAATAGTAATAAGGTTGGAATAGAGATAGCTTAAAACAGGCTCAACAAAATGTATTCTTTTCAATCAAGAACTTTTAAAAAGAAGAAAGCTTTAAATAAGAAATTTGGATATACAAATCTTATAGCAAGCAAGTATGCTAGGTTTTTTAGTAAAAGAGAATAACTTTATTAAAAGTTGGAACCTTAAATTAGTACAAGTAACAAATAATTTCAAAATTGCAAAAGTGTAAAAAAAGTATCAAATTGGCTATAAAAAATCAAATGCAAATAAGTTAGAGCTGTGATTAATATTCCAGCTTTTACTAGAAGATAATAAATTGCTATATACATAAAAACAAACAAAGTCATAATTGTTAACTTTTTCTGACAATCATCTGTACCAAAAAATCTAAACACATTTTTTGTAAAAAACACAATAGTATTTAGTAAAACATGGAGAGCATATCTAGAAGCTATAAGTTGGCAGTTGTTATTTAGAGGTAGTTTTTATATACTACCTGCTAACTTCTTCAGAGTTTATTACTCACCACATGCATGGCACTTGTTGTTTAGAAGTAGTTTTCATATGCTACTTGCCGACAAGCTCAGAGTTTATTACTCATCGAAAAAAATAATATAGGTGCTCCACTCCTTTTCTAGAAGAAAGGTTTAGAAGTTGTTGAGTTTTTACATAGATATAACTACTTTCCTTAGGTGCAAGTAGTCTTTCTTTAGATGTTTTTCACGTGGCCAGTTTTTTCCAGAATTTTCAACAAAAAGTGACCGATTTGGTTTATCTCCTTTAAAAGATTTGCATTGTTTACCTTCCAAATTTGGACATATCTAGGAATGCAACCACATGCTTTGTTTATCGGTGGATATGATACGTGACATAGTCTATGAATATGGGACCTCCACATGACTAGGATCGGGTCTCTGGCATAAGAGGCATCTAGAGGTGGCCAGTAGTCAAATAAAAATTTGTTAGATTTTATAGTCGAGATATACAAATGTTGCAGTTGTTATAAAATTTTTTCTTAAACCTGGTACAGGTTATAATAGTGTATTTTTCTTTTTTTTTCATTTTATTTGTACTATTTCTTGATAGAGGTAGTTCTTTCTTTGCTGGCTCTCAGACTTTTCTCTTTGTTTTTCTTTTTTTATATTTCATTATACCTTCTTTTATTTTTCTTTAAAAATTCTTCTTTGTTATATTTATTTTTTTTAATTAGTTTTTTATTTTGTTTTCTTTGATATTATTAGTGGTTTTGTATTAGATATAAGATCATCACTTTCTTTTACTCTTGGTAAAAAAAGAGAATATAAAGGGAAAAGCTTTGACAGGCTGACAAAGTTTATCTAACTTGTATACAGATTGGTGTGACAAGTCACATGTGAGCACATTTATCACAGCTGAGTGATGTTAGGCTCACAATTGCAAGACTCCCTGTTATGGTTATAAATGATAATATATTGTTCAAGAGAGTTTAACTCTCACCTAAATATAGTTTTAAATAAATTAAGCACTGGCAAGACTATCAAAAAATTAAAAAATAAAATAAAATAAAAAATAAAGTTAGCACACAATCTAAATCTGAGAAAAAGAAAGCAAATAGTTTGACAAATTAGAAAAAGAAATAATTAAAGACAGATCAACAAGAGAAGTTAAACCAATGTACAGGCTTAAAACAAAGAATTTAAATATAATCAGATTAGTAACTAGGAAAGTAAATGAAGACAAAAAAACAAGAGAATGAGTTGAGAGACAACATTAGCAAAATATATAAGCGTAAACTTATGTAAGTTATTACGACCCGTAATATTGCGCAATAATTATGGTCTGGGCAAAATATTATGTAATTTATTATGGAGTGTTACATAATTTATTATGAAGTATTATGCGATTTATTACGGAGTATTACGCGATTTATTATGGAATATTACAGAGGGTTTTATTTTTTAGTGCTACAGGTTTTTCACATAACGATAATACTGTAATATACAATTATAATTTATTAAATATATTGGTAATATATTGGTAATAATGTCTTAATGTTGACAATTTGCAATTTATTTAGAATCACTATAAAATACATCACTATAACATACATTGCTATAACATACATCGCTATAACAAACTAATATTCTAACACTACTAACTACTCTAACTCTAACCCTAAACCTTAAGCTAAACACAAATTCTAAACCAAAACTGCAATACCATGGCAAAACTACAACAATGGCAAAGCAAGGCTATTAAATCACTAAATTCACTATTTACTACTGGCAACAAAGAACAAATAACAAAACTGCATAACTAGCTATAATACTACCTACGACAAATTCATCATCAATAGCACACCATTATGGCAAAATCAACAAAACCCATTTTCTGGAAAAAAATAATACACACACCAAATGACAAGGAAAAAAGAAAAAACTAAAAGAGAACCTGCATGATGTTACTAACCAATCTAGAAAATGGCATTGAGTCACCAAATTTACTATTCACCACTGGCAATGAAGAACAAATGATTAAACTGCAGAACCAGTTATAGTATCACTAACAATAAATTTACCGGCAATAAAGAACAAATGATGAAACCGCAGAACCAGTTATAGTACTACCAACAACGAATTCACTGGCAACGAAGATAGAAACCGAAAAGAGAACCCACATAAAGATTTACTGACCACCATCTAGAAAACGTTTTTGAACATGTTCACAAACAAAACAAGAAATTGAACAGAAGCGTTTAAAGAATAAAAAAAAAAAACAACCCAAAATACAAATGTAATTATAACAACTAACTCGTAAGTTATTTGAAAAGATGATAAAGGTGTTAGTTAACATATTTTACACAAGAAAAAAACTACAAAATATAGTAGTAAACCCATGCAAGACTCTAGAAATGACAAAATTCTGTTACCAGAAATGACGATTATAGTAATAGCAGCAATTAATAAAAAAACACCAATAATGTCGATACCAGTAAAACAATAGCACCAGTAACAATGGCACCAGTAACAATGACACCAGTAATGGCGACGTCAATAATAGCAAGATTCTATTACTTGAAAGAGTAGCATTAGTTAAACACATTATAAACTAAATAAAGAATAAATAAAAAATATTAAAAGATCAGAATGATGATGATCACTATATATTGGGATAATTCTAGATTTTGGGCCAAACTTGTCTAAATTCTGGTCAAAAGTTAAAATTAAAATTTAATTTTGACCAGAATTTAGAAAGTTTGGCCCAAAAAATCTATCTGAAGTTCTACATACATGGCTTTTTTTTGTGAAGTTTTGTTTATACAGATTAGCCCTAAAAAATGTTGAAAAAACAATTCCCTAATACTAATTTAAATAAAACATAGGTACATAGCTTTAGCCATCCCTAATACACCAATAGACACTAAATTGTTTTAGCATTAACCCTAACTATATAATGCAATTTATTAACTTCAATTTTAAATAAGTGGTTTACTGATTTTATTAACAAATTAAGCCAATCTTGAATTTTGATTTGCCAAAATTACAAGGATAACCAAATTTTGTGGGTGCACTACCGAAATCCTATACTCAAGATATGAAATAACCTCAGGGATGTGACTTCAAGTTATAAATCGAAATTATTTATATTAACCACCTAAGAATTAACTATATACTACATCTAATACAAGAATCCATTAAGTACTTCTTCTAGTTAACTAGTTTAGAACAGAACTAAGTCTGATCAACTCATTAACAATCTCTTAGATACTAAATTTCACTAACAATTATTCACTGATAAGCTTATTTTACCAATAGTCAATTTCATCGAAGCTCATTTCATAAAGTAATTCTGGTCATTATCGTTAGGGTCAGGTTAGAATTAAAGTTAGTATAATTTATAAAAAAAAAAAAAAACTTGGTGGTGAAATGAGCTTCGGCTATTGGTAAAATGAACTTATTAGTAAGTAGTTGTCGGTGAAATAATATAGATCCCCAGAAACTCATACTCAATTGTTGCTGATTACTATATCATTACACCATAGTGATGATGAAGTGATGATAATGCAACGACAAATGTGTTTACCTTTAGCCATAATAAAAGGCCCCATGAAACAAAGGCAATTTAGCAGAGCTCAAATAAATAAAATAAATGCAAATAAAAAATGCATCACGTAACAGAATTTTTCTCAAAATAAGGTAGCACAAAAGCAACATAATATCGATGCCAACGATATTCTAGAAGTTGCTAAGATAGAAAAGAAAAAAAAGGTATTAGTATTTTATAGGAGTTCATTAACTATATACAACATCCCAAAAAAAAGCCTACAAATAAGATGCTTTCCTTTTACGGTCTTCCTGGAATTAAAGCCTCAGAATTTTCTATAGTTCAGGAGTCATCCTATACTAGAATCTGAAAAAGAGCCAAAGATATCATTGTCTTATCATGGGCTACTCCAAAGATCTCTTGCTAATTCATTATAAAGAAAGAAGCTTTTTAAAAAAAACTAAAATAGAACTAAAACCAAAGAACCAAATGTAAGCAAAGCAAGAAAAGAAAAAGCTCTTTATTTAAATAAAATTCCAAAACCAAACTATAAAATTATCTCCGGCCTATTGTCATAATATAAGATCCTAAGATAACCTTAAAATCCTGTTATACCCTTAAATAAGTGTGTCGCTAACCCGTATTATTAATTTCGGCTCTAATAATTCCAGATTGGGCAATTCCACAACTCCTAAGTAGAGTTAGAATCTGCATTAAACTCATTATTGTCAGAAAGAAAAAAAAAAAATAAGCAAAAGAAAATCTGAAAATTAGAAAGAAGAAAGAACAAATATACTTAACAAGAAATTAATTGTTTAGCCCCTAATCCACGGTGACCTTGTTGAAAAGGTATGCAACTTTACAAAAAAAAAAAACTGATCACCAAGCATTAAGATTGGTCTGCGATAAATAGGCGTGGAAATTAGAGTGTGAAAAAAATAAATAAGAAAAAAACAAAAGGTAAAAAATATTGAGAAAAAAAAAAAATAAAATAGAACAACCGAAAATGAAAAGGGATAAAGGTGTGAAAAAGGGAGATAACAATAATGAATACTGGATTTAAAATCGGGGTCAGTTGGTGATACGAAAACCAAAAAATAGCTTATGCAAATTTTGAATTTTTGCTTAAGATAAAAAAGCCGTAATATTACATAAAATATTTCAAAATATTTCGAAATATCTTATGTAATATTTTGTAATTTTGATATTTTGCAATATTTTGAAAATTCTTACATAATATTACGGTTATTTTATGGCTCATAAATTATTACAAAATATTATGGTCTTATAAATTTGCTGATGAAAGACTCTATACAAGTTAGATTTGAAAAAATAAAAAAAAAACAAAAAAAAAACAAAAAGTATATAGAAGTAGAAAGCTTTGTAGAAAAAGAAAATTTTCAACCAAGTACAGAGAAGATTTTAGAATTTGTTAAGAATCAAATACCAATTCTAATTAAGTGTAAAGAATTAAGAAACATTTCAAATTTTGTAAAAAAATCAGTAAATAGTCCACATATAATTTTTGAAATATACTCTTTAGAAAATATGGTTGGTGTAGATACTATAAAGACACTTGCAATAGTAAAAGAGATACGAAATATTAAAAAAAAAGAGTATATAGAAGTAGATTATCTAAGATGGGAAACATGTTTAATAAATAAAGTAGTAATAGATAGAGTAGTTAAAAAAAAATTAATAGAGATTTTAGATCAAAATGAAAAGCTAGATAACTTAGTATTCTATACAGATGACTTACTTGGAACTTTAGAAATTACAGTAGAAAAAATTATGGTTGTGAAGTAGTACAAGTTTCAGAAGAAGGTCAAATTGTATAACAAATAGCACTCATGACCAAGAAGTGGTTTTCATCAACTAAAGCAGAGTTGGTAGCAATTTTAGCTGCTTTACTTGTTACACCAAGAGAAAAAAAGAACTAATAGTAGTGCCACTATTTTTGCAATTAACAAAAAACTAGAAATAGACAAAGTTAGATAGTAGTTAAAGATCAAAAATAGTAGTTTAATAGCTACAATAGTAAAGATAGTTAAAACAAAACAACTTGAATTATAGTTGATGAAAATAAAAGATTATTTAGGAGATTTCTACAATAACTTGGCAGATCTTAGAGCCAAGGAAGATGCAAACTTGGTAAAAACTTTATTCTTATACAGTGTATGACATTTAAAAACTAAAATCACGTGACTTTGGGGCCTAAATTTTAAAATCGCTTAAAATTCGATTTTATATACATTTCTGTGTGATCACATGACCAACACAATTATACTAAACAATTCTCAAGTTTTTATACTGCCTGTGCCCAAATAAAAATTACAAATCTAATTCATTTCTAAAACTAGCATAGTGGAAGTTCGTTTTGATTGGCTAAAATTTGAATAAACATGATTGGTGACGATCATTTATTTATACAGTCAATTGTAATTTTTAAAATACTTTTATTAGTAAAAATTGTCATGCTATATAAAAATTTTTTTTGTAATACATAACGAAACAACAAACTTAAGCATCATATTTTTCGTTTTTAAACCTACTGTTTTTTAACAAGAGATATAGTAAGATATAGAAGTTCAAGAAACTAGATAAGAAGTGAATATTTTGAAAGGTCAGGAAGGTAGTTCGGTGATCTAAGCAACTAGTAAATGAAATTGTGAGATTCTGCTTCAACTAGTTTGTTTATATTATTTACAAGTGAAAGTATTATTTTGAACTATTATTCT